CTCGTGTTTCTCTGCTGTTGTCGTTGTAGTTTTAGTTTGTACTTTCTCTCCCTCTCCCCGTGTGTCTCCTGTTGCTTCGTGCAGTTGTAGTAGTAGTAGTAGTAGTAGTAGTAGTATTTGTAATAGCAGTATTAGTATTAGTATTTGAGTGTGGGTTTCCTCTCCTCTCGTCGTGTTTCTGTTTCTGACCTGGATCATAGAATCAGGAAGTTTTGAACAAAGGAAAATCGAGAGAAAATCCCGGATCAGGTTCAGGAAACTCGACCTGAGTTTAACACACGGACTTTAACACGAGTCGACAATAGTCACAATAATAATAATAAAAACTATCAATAAAAAGCAGCAGAATACAACATTTAAATAAAAAGAATCAAATTAAAGACACATTTATGGAACCAGAGGATTTACGTGTTAAACCACAAACATAAAGTCTGTCTGTGTTTGATATTTACTGCGTTAAAAACTATCCAAATCTCTCTGTTTGATATTTATTGTGATATTTTACAGAGGCTAATATAATTGTAGAGGTAGATGAGACACTTTTTTGTTTTTAAAATCCCTTGACAAGATTTTGGTGTGAATTATTTCTGTCATAATCCCAAAAAATCAAGTAAAAACATATTTCTTCATGTTGTTTGTGCTGAAATGAATCATGGGAAATGTAGTTCTGATCTTTATAAACTGTTGTTACTATAAAACTTGAATTTAAACAAAGAAAATTATTGTGAGACTTTTGATGATCCGATATCACAATATTTCAGTTATTGTTACATCTCTAGTTTACAGTGATCCAAAGTTCGTCCTCTCTTCCCTTCTGCGTTTCAGAGCGTCCGAATTATTCACCCTGATGAGTTTATACGAGCTTTTCTCTCTTTTAACTCGCACAGACCAGAGCCGAACGATAAAGGGTCGAATTATGACGTCTGCACACTTCTGTCTGTTGTGTTTTTGTTGTTTTTTGGTGAAATCTCGTGCCTTCAGTTTTGTGTTTTCGAGTTTGGTTTGTTGTGTTTTCAGGGTTTGGTTTGTTAGTTTGTCGGTGTTTTTGTGTTTTGGGGTTTGGTTCTTCGGTTTGTTCGTGTTTTGGTGTTTGGATTGTCCACGTTTTGGAGTTTGGATTGTCCGTGTTTTGGAGTCCGGGTTTTCATGTTTTCAGGCTTGGTTCATTGGTTCATCGTGTTTCCGGGTTTAATTCATTAGTTTTGTTGGTGTTTCCGGGTTCGGTTCGTTGGTTTTGTCGGTGTTTTCGTGTTTCAGGTTTGATTCGTTGGTTTTGTCGACGTTTCAGGTTTGATTCGTTGGTTTTGTCGGTTCGTTTCAGGTTTGATTTGTTGGTTTTGTCTGCGTTTCAGGTTTGATTCGTTGGTTTTGTGGTGTTTCAGGTTTGATTCGTTGGTTTTGTCTGCGTTTCAGGTTTGATTCGTTGGTTTTGTCGGTGTTTCAGGTTTGATTCATTGGTTTTGTCGGTGTTTTTGGGTTTGATTTGTTGGTTTTGTCGGTGTTTTCAGGTTTGATTCGTTGGTTTTGTCGGTGTTTCAGGTTTGATTGTTGGTTTTGTCGGTGTTTCTGGTTTGATTTGTTGGTTTTGTCGGTGTTTTTGGGTTTGATTTGTTGGTTTGTCGGTGTTTTCAGGTTTGAGTCGTTGGTTTGTCGGTGTTTTTGTGTTTCCGGATTTGGTTTGTCCGTGTTTTGAGGTTTGGTTTGTCGTGTTTTGAGGTTTGGTTTTCGGTTTGAGGTTTGGTTGTCCGTGTTTTGAGGTTTGGTTTGTCCGTGTTTTGAGGTTTGGTTTGTCCGTGTTTTGAGGTTTGGTTTGTCCGTGTTTTGAGGTTTGGTTTGTCCGTGTTTTGAGGTTTGGTTTGTCCGTGTTTTGAGGTTTGGTTTGTCCGTGTTTTCGTGTTTGATTCGTTATTTTTGTCCATGTTTCCTGGACATGAGGGAAAGTCTCATGTGAAATGGATGAGTTGAGATGAGCTCAAACTTCATCTTTTATTCATGTGTGAGGATTATCACAGCACACGGATTAAACTGACAGAAGAGAGGGATGAGAGAGGAGGAGGGATAGAGAAAAGGTGGAGGACAGGGATGGAAAGAGAAAGGGGAGAGGCAGATGGATGGAGGGAAACGAGTGAGGACGAATGAAAAGAGGGATGTAGGGAGGAGCAGAGTGTGAACATGTGGACTGAGATGGAGGAGAGGAGAGAGAGTGAAACGAGAGGAGGAGGAGGAGAGGAGTTTTTCACGTTCTTCATAACTGGAGCTCATTTGGTTCATATTTTTGCACCTTTCTGACTTCCTGTGAAGCCGCCCTCGTCGCTCTCACTTCCTGTTCGCGGTCTGTTCTTCTGCTTTTCTCTTTCCTCCTCCTCGGCGCTCTCAGGGTGGAGCTCATCTGCCAACAAAACTAAAAAAACTAAAAAAAAAACTTTGTATGAGTGACAAAAGTTTACAGTGAACATGAACTTTAAGTGTGATTCCCCCAAACAAACGCAGAGAGTTTTTATTTGTATTAAATTAAATGTTGATTGTTTGTGTTTGTGTTTGTGACCGGAGCTCGTGTGTGTTTCAGATAAACGTGCGCGTCACCACCATGGACGCAGAGCTGGAGTTTGCCATTCAGCCAAACACCACCGGCAAACAGCTCTTTGACCAGGTACGAACCAAAAACCTCCTACACACCTGTACACACAATAGAAGGGTTTCAGTCACAACGATGCACGAATTTCAGGTGGAGGGCAGGAAGTGAAGACAAACACGACACACACGGCTCTGGAGAACACAGATATGGAGAAGAGTTCTTATTGTCAGGATTTAGAGCCAGTAGCGAGGCAAAAGTACGAGCAGTTAGTCGACAAATATATTGGACGTGACCCTGATCTTATTGAAAATGAGAGAATTTTCGACCAAAGTAAAAGATTTGCCGACAATCGAGGCAGAGGAGATCACCAACTATTTAGCTCTTCAGACGTCGTTCTACACCAGACAACAGATGAAGGCAAAGTACAAAAGTTTGGAGGAATAGAACTTTTTTTGTCAGTGGATGGATCCTCAACCTCGGTGCAAAACGACTAAATGATGATGATGGTTTGGTCTTGGCCGGGGTGAGTGTTTCTCTTATTTTATGTGTATAGACGTTATGTGTAAAACTGCAGTGTATCGGCAGTGACCGATTTATCTGAACTATTTAATGTCAACAAACGTCGTTAGTCGTTAATGATTCGTTTATGTTTAGGTAAACCACAAAAAACAATTTATCTTTGTAACAAACCTTTGTTGAAGTGTCACTGCAGACACGAGCATTAGTGAATTCTGCTCCTCCCGACCGCAAACAGGTTTGTAATCCACGTTTTACGGCGTTGTTCTGTTGGCTTTTCCCATTTCTGACCTTTGTGGACGACTATGTTCAGTTCTCTAAAAAAATCGCTTTTCCTTCTCTCGGTTAGAACGATTGGCACAGTCATAAACTACACAACACATCGGCATTTTCCTCCAGTCGGTTCACTTCCTGCCCTCCATCTGATTTTGCGCTGACGTCACGTGAAACCCAGATATTACACCTGTGCACACAATTACACCTGTACCTCCATAAACCTGTGCCCCAACGCACAAACCTAAGAGTTTATTCATCCAAAAAGGCAAAAGGCAAGTTCATTTGTACAGCACAATTCGTACAAAAGTAATTCAAAGTGCTTTACAGTAGGGGTGTGCAAAAATATCAAAATATCGATATATCGTATCGTTTAATGTGATGATACAATTTCAATATCGTGGGCTGCTGTATCGATATATCGCCAAGCGTAATTTTTGGTTTACTTAATTATTTTGTTACAGCGCTGCAGTTTTGTCACTTGTTCAGAGGAAGGAAACTCATTTATGCGACACATTTGACATTTTCACTGTTTTGATGATTAAAATGTTTGTGTTTCATATTAAATTTGCACAAAAAGTAGTTTCACAAAGACTTTTAGTATCACAGCCATGACTTAGTCTTTATTTTTTATTGAACTGTATCGAATTCATTTGAAATATATCGTATCGAATCAAAGATGCGCTGTATCGAGAGACGTATCGTATCATACCCAGCCCTACTTTACAGAATAAGAAATACATTAAAATCACAATAAAAACAAATCAAAACATAAATACTCATAAAGATTCAAATTAAAAGAGGCATAAATTAAAGAGAAGAGTGTGGAATGAAAACCTTTCAGTCGTACGCAGTTAAACAGAACCGTTTAGAGTCTGGATTTAAACAGAACAAAATATATATCAACCTAAACAAACTAGGAAAGACAGTTTGATTTATTTATTTATTGTTCTTCTTAACTGTATTTTGGTAAAGTGTGTAGTCCCACCTGTCGTAGGCAGTTAACGTACACATAAGGACGTACACACCCTGCAGCTAAATATAACACTTTATGAACCACGACTCCAAACCTGCAGCAGGAGGAGAGGAGCGCTGCTGGGGTCACGCTTTACTTTACTTAACAGTTTTTGGTTGGGTTTGTTTTTGAGGAGATAAAAATAAAAAATTAAAGCTCACAGAGTCTGTTTAGTTTTATTATTTGGGCTCGTGTCTGAGGGTCGGGGGTCAAAGGTCGTACTGAGTGTGTTGTGTTTTCAGGTGGTGAAGACGGTCGGGCTCAGGGAGGTCTGGTTCTTCGGGCTGCAGTACGTCGACAGTAAAGGATACATCACCTGGCTCAAGCTCAACAAGAAGGTCTCACTCCTCACTCTGATCCAGACCTGATCCAGACCTGATCCAGATCTGCTCTAGACTAAATTATATCACTTAACCTCATGTTTATTTTAATATTTGTTGTGTTTTTGTTTTGTTTTCCAGGTGACGCAGCAGGACGTGAAGAAGGAAAACCCTCTGCAGTTCAAATTCAGAGCAAAGTTTTTCCCCGAAGACGTTTCAGAAGAACTCATCCAAGAAATCACACAGAGGCTCTTCTTCCTCCAGGTACAGACCACAGACAGTCCTGGTCTAGTCCTGGTCTAGTCCTGGTCTAGTCCTGGTCTAGTCCTGGTCTAGTCCTGGTTTAGACCTGGTGTAGACCTGGTTCAGTTCTGGTATAAACCCTGACAGACTGGGGTGCAGGAGGATGGGAGGGCATCTGGTGTAACGTTCTCGTCTGTAGGTGAAGGAGGCGATTCTGAACGATGAGAACTACTGCCCCCCGGAGACGGCCGTGCTGTTGGCGTCTTACGCCGTCCAGGCCAAATATGGAGACTACAGCAAAGACGTGCACAAGCCCGGATACCTGACCCACGACCGCCTGCTCCCACAGAGGTACGGCCCACACAGACCCGGTTTAGACCTGGTTTAGTCCTGTGTTTAGTCCTGGTTCAGTCCTATGTTTAGACCCGGTTTAGTCCTGGTTTAACTTTATGTTTCTGATGTTTAGTTTGCTGATAAGTTGTTGTTTTTCAGAGTTCTGGAGCAGCACAAACTGACCAAAGAGCAGTGGGAGGACCGGATACAGACCTGGCACGAAGAACACAGAGGAATGCTCAGGTACAAAACACTCAACTATTCATATGTATTTAAATCCACACTTGATTTAAACAGAATCTGAAAGGATTATTACACACAAACCACAGACGAGATGTTCTGGAGGTAAACGTGTCGTTCACAAACTCAGTGGAATGTTTATTTAAGTGTAAATTTCCTTCACTCACGCAGACGAGCTCTGTCTGGTCACGTCTGACTCTAAATCAGACTTAAGGTTTCACCTCAGTGTGAACGCATCAAACTCAGAGACTTTAAGGCCCCGTTCACACTAGTGTGTATGTGGGTGGTGGTGTTGTGTGTACAGTGTTTGTTCACATTAAGCTGATGTTAAACGTCTCCAGAGTCTGAACGATCTGGTGGAGTTCATGTTGGTCCAGATGTGATGGGGACTGTGGGACTCCTGAAAACTCTGATCCTCTGAAGTAGGAGCTGGAGTCTTGTCCTGACTGGACTCTGTGTCACTGTGACTCGCTCCTTCTGATTCTCTGGGTTTGTGACGTCGTCATGTGACGCTGTTGTGGAAAACACTTTAGACAAACCAGAGACAAATGAGAAACAGCCGAGATACAAATACTGACGACTTTCACACTCCCCATCTTCCTCAGCTCAGAACCAGCTGCTGCAGCTTCAGACACGGTGCACCACATCCTTGTTTTTACCCACATGACATTGTGACAAGAGCCGAGTCATGTGACGAGCGTTTCAGGTGGTTTGGAGTTACTGTGTGGAGGGAAGACTTTAAGTGTGAACACAGAAACGACGTGTCTGGACACAAATCATTTCTGATACGATGATTCGTTTCAGTGTAAACATAACTTAAATCTAAACATGTCCTTTCCTCCTGGAGTTGGAGGCGTTTACACCGAGGTCAAACCCTGAGTCTGATTTTGACCAGACAGAGATCGTCTTCTTCTCATTCTCAGTTTATGTTCAGGCCTCAGGTGAAGCTCAGAACCTCCAGAATCCCCTCCCTGAGCTGCACAGGCCTGTACGAGGCTCCGCCCACAAGCCTCCGTCCCCCACACGACAACTCTCTATAAATACACACAAAAACATGACACAAAAACATGACACAAAAACATGACACAAAAACATGACACAAAGCTGACGTGATGTGAGGAGTTTGATTAGTGGGACACACACTGAGGGTTTTGGGATGGTGCTCTGAAGGGGGAGCGACTTAGACTCATGTGAAGTTGTGTGTGTGTCGTGTGTGTCGTGTGTGTCGTGTTTGCAGAGAGGACTCGATGATGGAGTATCTGAAGATCGCTCAGGACCTGGAGATGTACGGAGTCAACTACTTCGAGATCAAGAACAAGAAAGGAACTCAACTCTGGCTCGGAGTCGACGCGCTCGGACTAAACATCTACGAACACGAAGACAAGTGAGGACTGGACCAGGACTAGACCAGGACTAGGACCGGGACTAGACCAGGACTAGACCGGGACTAGACCGGGACTAAACATCTACGAACACGAAGACAAGTGAGGACTGGACCAGGACTAGACCAGGACTAGACCAGGACTAAACATCTACGAACACGAGGACAAGTGAGGACTGGACCAGGACTGGACCGGGACTAGACCGGGACTAGACCGGGACTGGACCGGGACTGGACCGGGACTGGACCGGGACTGGACCGGGACTGGACCGGGACTGGACCAGGACTAGACCGGGACTAGACCAGGACTAAACATCTACGAACACGAAGACAAGTGAGGACTGGACCGGGACTAGACCGGGACTGGACCGGGACTGGACTGGACCGGGACTGGACCGGGACCTGGACGGGACTAGACCGGGACTAGACCAGGACTGACTAGACCGGGGGGACTAGACCGGGAACTAGACCGGGACTAGACGGGACTAGACGGGACTAGAGGACTAGACACAGACGAGACAAGGACAGAAGACTAGACCAGGACTGACTAGACCAGGACTAGACCAGGACTAGACCAGGACTAGACCAGGACTAGACCAGGACTAAACCAGGACTAAACATCTACGAACACAAAGACAAGTGAGGACTAGACCGGGACTGGACTTGACCAGGACTTGACCAGGACTTGACCAGGACTTGACCAGGACTTGACCAGGACTTGACCAGGACTCTACATATACAAACACAAGCCAAGTTAGGACCGGGACTAGGACCAGGACTGGACTGGGGAACTAAACACCTGAGCACAAAGAGACGTCCGATCAGAACAGAAGTGCAGGTTCCTGTTTTGTTTTGATTTGTTTTGCTTTCAACACGTCGACGAGACGTTGGTGAGACTCGTTACGTCATAATCCCGAGAATTAAGATCTGAGAGAGATTTCCTCATGAGTCTGAAACCAGTCGAGCTCCGAGACACTTCCTGTTTACAGCTGTTGCTACAAAACAAAACCTTCACCTGGAGACGATGAAACGACTCTAAAGAACCGAGATGAGACTTTTGAACTCAAGGACTGGACCTGGACTGGGACTGGACTGGGACTGGACCAGGACTGGACCTGAAGTGTTGGTGCCACTTTTCCCTCAGCCTCGTGAGACAGAATAATAATAACATGTTTGTAAAATGGCGCCGCGTTGCCAGGTTCTAGATGAGTTTTCCAGCAGCAGAAGAAGAAGAAGAAGAAGAATCCTCAGAAGAAAAATAAAAACCTCTGCACAAAACGTCTACAGTTAAAAGGAGAGAAGGAGGAGAAGGACAGGAGAGAGGAGGAGGGAGAAAGAGAAGGAGGAGATGGAAAGGGGGAGGTGAAAAGGAGGAAGTTGAGAAAGGAGAGAGAAGGAGGAGGAGATGGAGAGAAGGAGGAGATGGAAAGGTGAAGAGGAGGAAGTGGAGAAAGGAGGAGAGAGGAGAAGAGATTGAGGAGAGATCGATAGAAGGAGAAAGAAGATGAGATGGAGAGAGAAGGAGAGAGGAGGAAGAGGAGGAGATGGAGAGAAGAACGAAGTGGAGAGGAGGAGGAAGTGGAGAAAGGAGGTAAAAAGGAAGAGAGGGGAGAGATGGAGAGAGAGAGGAGATAGAGATGGAGAGAGGAGGAGGAGATGGAGAGAATGAGAGAGGAGAGGAGGAGGAGATGGAAAGGGGGAGGAGAAAGGAGGTAGAAAGGAAGAGAGATGGAGAGAGGAGGAGGAGAGAAGATGAGGAGATAAAGAGTAGAAGGAGGAGGTGAAGAGAAGGAGGAGAATCTGAACAATCTGAAAAGATGAGAAGGAGGTGAAGGGAGAGAGTGAGAGAAGGAGGTGAGAGAGAGATGGAGAGAAGGAGGTGGAGAGAGAGATGGAGAGAAGGAGGTGGAGAGAGAGAGAGAGAGGAGGTGGAGAGAGATGGAGAGAAGGAGGTGGAGAGAGAGATGGAGAGAGAGGAGGATGGAGAGAGATGGAGAGAGATGGAGAGAAGGAGGAAGGAGAGAGAGAGAGAGAAGGAGAGAAGGAGGTGGAGAGAGAGATGGAGAGAAGGAGGTGAGAGAGATGGAGAGAGGAGAGAGAGAGAGGTGAGAGAGAGAGAGAAGGAGGTGAGAGAGAGAGGAGGTGGAGAGAGATGGAGAGAAGGAGGTGGAGAGAGAGATGGAGAGAAGGAGGTGGAGAGAGAGGGAGGTAGAGAGAAGGAGGTGGAGAGAGAGATGGAGAGAAGGAGGTGAGAGAGAGATGGAGAGAAGGAGGTGGAGAGAGAGATGGAGAGAAGGAGGTGAGAGAGAGAGATGGAGAGAAGGAGGTGGAGAGAGATGGAGAGAAGGAGGTGGAGAGAGATGGAGAGAAGGAGGTGGAGAGAGATGGAGAGAAGGAGGTGGAGAGAGAGAGGTGAGAGAGAGAGATGGAGAGAAGGAGGTGGAGAGAGAGATGGAGAGAAGGAGGTGGAGAGAGAGATGGAGAGAAGGAGGTGGAGAGAGATGGAGAGAAGGAGGTGGAGAGAGATGGATGGAGAGATGGAGAGAGAGGAGGTGGAGAGAGAGATGGAGAGAAGGAGGTGGAGAGAGATGGAGAGAAGGAGAGAGAGAGATGGAGAGAAGGAGGTGGAGAGAAAGTAAAGTGTAATAATCTTTCGTGTTCAGTGTTTAGTTCGTGTGAGCGATTAAACGTCTCATTTCACCACAAAACAGTGAAGTGTTTAGTTTTTAGTTTTGTTTTTTAAATTTCTGGTGAAATTCATAAAATCACTTCCTGTTTGGAGCAGCTGCAGGTGTGACACACGCAGGGGTAACTCCAACACTGTTACCACGACAACCAAACTGTAAACAAACAAACAAACATCAGACTCAGACAGATAAAAGAACATGGGTTTATTTAGTCAGACGAAGGTTTAAAATGTTTAAAGTGAAAATGAAACGGGTTTATCCATAGTTTCTTAAACACCTCAAACTATATTTTTATTTTAAGTTTAAAGTTTAAAGATGCTCTGTTTTACGACATGTTTGTGTGTTTAATGGAATGTTCCACAAAAGTTCCGCAGTGCATCTTTAAAATATTCTAGAAAAATCCCTGAATCGTCATAAAGACCAGACTCAGGTGTTGGAGTGTGGCGCCCTCGTGTGGTCGTCACGGTGCAGCTCGCTCTAATGACTCAGAACCTCTTGAAATACTTTTACTACAAATACTTTTACTACAAATACTTTAATAAAATGTTCTATCATTTCTTCTTCTTGTTGTGTTTGTTCAGGTTGACGCCAAAGATCGGTTTCCCCTGGAGCGAGATCAGAAACATTTCATTTAACGACAAAAAGTTCACCATCAAACCCATCGACAAGAAAGCCCCGGTATGAAGCTTTAAAACCTGGTTTAGACCTGGTTTTAGTCCCTGGTTTTAGTCTTGGTTTAGTCCTGGTTTAGTCTCTGGTTGTAGTCTCTGGTCTCAGGAGATTTCAGGAGGTCTCAGTGGGTCTCAGGAGGTTTTGGGAGGTCTCAGTGGGTCTCGGTGAGTCAGTGGGAGAGGTCTCAGTGGGTCTCGGGAGGTGGGAGGTCTCAGTGGGTCTCGGGAGTCTTGGGAGGTCTCAGTGGGTCTCAGTGGGTCTCAGTGGGTCTCAGTGGGTCTCGGGAGGTCTCAGTGGGTCTCGGGAGGTCTCGGGAGGTCTCAGTGGGTCCTCGGGAGGTCTCAGTGGGTCTCGGGAGGTCTGGTCTCGGGGAGTCTGGGTCTCGGGAGGTCTCAGTCTCGGGAGGTCTCGGGAGGTCTCAGTGGGGAGGTCTGGGTCTCAGTGGGTCTCAGGAGGTCTCGGGAGGTCTTAGTGGGTCTCGGGAGGAGGTCTCGGGAGGAGTGGGTCTCGGAGGTCAGTGGGTCTCGGGAGGTCTCAGTGGGTCTCGGGAGGTCTCAGTGGGTCTCGGGAGGTCTCGGGAGGTCTCAGTGGGTCTCGGGAGGTCTCAGTGGGTCTCGGGAGGTCTCAGTGGGTCTCGGGAGGTCTCAGTGGGTCTCGGGAGGTCTCAGTGGGTCTCGGGAGGTCTCGGGAGGTCTCAGTGGGTCTCGGGAGGTCTCAGTGGGTCTCGGGAGGTCTCAGGAGGTCTCAGTGGGTCTCAGGAGGTCTCACGAGGTCTCACGTTTGTGTTTTTTCACGCAGGACTTCGTGTTCTACGCTCCTCGTCTGCGCATCAACAAACGGATCCTGTCCCTGTGCATGGGGAACCACGAGCTCTACATGAGGAGGAGGAAACCAGACACCATCGAGGTGCAGCAGATGAAGGCCCAGGCCCGAGAGGAGAAGCACCACAAGCAGATGGAGAGGTGAGGAGACCTGGACCCACCTGGACCGACCTGGACCGACCTGGACCGACCTGAGCTGCACCGGGTCTAAACATCGGAAAAACAGAACAGATCAGAACAGTCCACAGTTTCCCAAAGTTCTTCCTCTCTGACCTTCTGCATCCAGAGCCGTTTTTAAGAGCTCCTCACACTCACAGACCAGAGTACTCAACAACTAGCATTCTAACAGTGCACTTCCTGATTCTTACACAATATATACCAGGACTAAAGAAGGTCTATAGGCTTAAATCGGGCTAATAATTTGTCCTCAAACAAAAAAGATAAAAATGTATCTGGTTTAGTCTTGGTTTAGTCCTGGTTTAGGCCCTAGTTTAAGCCCTGGTTTGGTCCCAGTTTAGGTCCCGGTGTAGTCCTGGTCTGGTCTTGGTTTAGTCTTGTTTTTAGTCCTGGTTGGTCCTCATTTAGTCCCTGGTTTAGCTGTGGTCTAGTCCTGATTTAGTCCAAATTTATTTCAAGTCTAGTCCTGGTCTAGTCCTGGTCTAGTCCTGGTCTAGTCCTGGTCTAGTCCTGGTTTTACTTGTTGTTTTGTTTCTCAGGGCTCAGCTGGAGAACGAGAAGAAGAAACGTGAACTGGCCGAGAAAGAAAAGGAGCGAATCGAAAGAGAGAAAGAAGAACTGATGGAACGACTGAAACAGATCGAAGAGCAAACCATGAAGGCCCAGAAAGGTACGGGAGGGCATCTGACGCACACAGGAGGGAGGGCATCTGACGCACACGGGAGGGAGGGCATCTGCATCTGGGAGGGAGGGCATCTGACGCACACGGGAGGGAGGGCATCTGACGCACACACGGGAGGGAGGGCATCTGACGCACACACGGGAGGGAGGGCATCTGACACACACGGGAGGGAGGGCATCTGACGCACACACGGGAGGGAGGGCATCTGGAGGACACACACACACGGGAGGGAGGGCATCTGACGCACACGGGAGGGAGGGCATCTGACGCACACGGGAGGGAGGGCATCTGACGCACACGGGAGGGAGGGCATCTGACGCACACGGGAGGGAGGGCATCTGACGCACACACGGGAGGGAGGGCATCTGACACACACACGGGAGGGAGGGCATCTGACACACACGGGAGGGAGGGCATCTGACACACACGGGAGGGAGGGCATCTGACGCACACACGGGAGGGAGGGCATCTGACACACACGGGAGGGAGGGCATCTGACGCACACGGGAGGGAGGGCATCTGAGAATTTTAAAGGTCAAACTGGGGTCAGCAGCCTCCGGGAAAATTTAAAATGAAATACAACGACACAAAATGGAGTCAATCGTTTGTGTTTTGTTTGTGCTGCAGAAAGTTTGGTTTGTGTGATTCTAGTTCTTAAAATATGAACAGTTTTATTTTGGGTCGATGACTAAAACAGCAGAAAATTAAACCAAACGCTTGTGTTTTGTTGCATAAATGATATGAGGTCTTTTCCACTCAGCTGACGACAGCGACTTTAACAAAACTCCACAAAACCAGTGAAGAGAAGCGACCTGAGTCTGTGGAAAAGTCTCTGTTTCAGTCTTTAGTCATTTGCTTTTGATTGATATTTTATATAATAATAACACAGACTTTTCTACAGCCCCAGCGCAAACGAAATACTAATGTTTAGGTTTGGTGTCCCTGTTTTAGTTCTAGTTTAGTCCTGGTTTGGTCCCTGGTCTGGTCCCTGGTTTGGTCCTGAGGTTGTTTCATATTTTGAGGGGCTGGACGACGTCATCGGCCCAAAATAAAACTGTTCAGATCTTAAGAACCAGAATCACACAAACCAAACTTTTTGCAGCACAAACGATGGACAGAGTTTTGTGCAGGTTTGAGTTTGATGGAGGAGACTTCACTCAGGTCTGATACTCGTGCTTGATTCTAACGTTGTTCCTCATCAAACCTGTCTGAAAAGGTTTAAGAGTCGTCCATGCATGTCTGAGTAATCTAGTGATCTCTCCTGGGCCCTATTCAAACCCTGGGCCCAAATGCCTGTTCTGTAAACCCTGTGTGGTGTTGCAGAGTTGGAGGAGCAGACTCGTAAAGCTCTGGAGCAGGAGGAGTGGGAGGGCATCTGGTTTAAGTGGTGTTTGTCGTTGCAGAGTTGGAGGAGCAGACTCGTAAAGCTCTGGAGCAGGAGGAGTGGGAGGGCATCTGGTTTAAGTGGTGTTTGTCGTTGCAGAGTTGGAGGAGCAGACTCGTAAAGCTCTGGAGCAGGAGGAGTGGGAGGGCATCTGGTTTAAATGGTGTTTGTCGTTGCAGAGTTGGAGGAGCAGACTCGTAAAGCTCTGGAGCTGGAGCAGGAGCGGAGGAGAGCGAGAGAAGAGGCCGAGCGTCTGGAGAGAGAAAGAAGAGCGGCCGAAGAAGCCAAAGCCGAACTCGCCAAACAGGCGGCCGACCAACAGAAGAACCAGGAGACTCTGGTGAGTACTACTACTAACTACTACTACTACTACTACTACTACTACTACTACAACAGAAGAACCAGGAGACGTTGATAAATACTTAAAATACCAAATCTCTCCACTTTCAGAAATATCCATGTGATAAAAGTATTTTTCCAGCTCTTATCCCTGTAGTGTTTGTAGTACAGTGGAGTATAGTGTAGTGTGTACTGTGTACTGTGTACTGTAGTGTACTGTTTGTGTTTGTACTAGTGTACTGTGTACTGTGTACTGTAGTGTACTGTAGTGTTTGTAGTACAGTGGAGTATAGTGTAGTGTGTACTGTGTACTGTAGTGTACTGTAGTGTTTGTAGTACAGTGGAGTATAGTGTACTGTGTACTGTAGTGTACTGTAGTGTTTGTAGTACAGTGGAGTATAGTGTAGTGTGTACTGTGTACTGTAGTGTTTGTAGTACAGTGGAGTATAGTGTAGTGTGTACTGTGTACTGTAGTGTACTGTAGTGTTTGTAGTACAGTGGAGTATAGTGTAGTGTGTACTGTGTACTGTAGTGTTTGTAGTACAGTGGAGTATAGTGTAGTGTGTACTGTGTACTGTAGTGTTTGTAGTACAGTGGAGTATAGTGTAGTGTGTACTGTAGTACTGTAGTGTTTGTAGTACAGTGGAGTATAGTGTACTGTGTACTGTAGTACTGTTGTGTTTGTAGTACAGTGGAGTATAGTGTACTGTGTACTGTGTACTGTAGTGTACTGTAGTGTTTGTAGTACAGTGGAGTATAGTGTAGTGTGTACTGTGTACTGTAGTGTACTGTTGTGTTTGTAGTACAGTGGAGTATAGTGTAGTGTGTACTGTGTACTGTAGTGTACTGTAGTGTTTGTAGTACAGTGGAGTATAGTGTAGTGTGTACTGTGTACTGTAGTGTACTGTAGTGTTTGTAGTATATTGGAGTGTTGTGTTTGTAGTGTCAGACTGAGGTCACTTCACGATTGGTCAGTTCAGTTGTTTCTCTGCGCTGTGATTGGCTGATCTTGGCTGTGTTTTGTTGCAGGCGGCGGAGCTGGCAGAGTTTACAGCAAAGATCGCGCTGCTCGAAGATGCCAAGAAGAAGAAAGAGGACGAGGCCACGGAATGGCAACACAAGGTACAAAAAAAAACTACAACCAGATCAAACTAGAACAACCAACAACACAAGATATAAACCAGATAAAACAGATTAAAAAGGTACAAACCAAAGAAACCAGCACCAAACCAACAAACGCACAACCAGCTGAACCAATAACCAACACAAAGTACTAAAACACAATTATTATATTAGCTTTTCTGTCTCCACATACACCAGAGTAACTCTCCAAACGGCACCAAACTGAAAACTGAAAACACTCAGGCTAAGGTTACGTGTGTAACTATGGTTCTATGAATCCTGGATGACATTTCAACTAGGGCTGTAATGATTTCCAAATCTGACTGTACGATATTTATTGTGATATTTTGGAGAAACTAATAGAACTGTAGATAGGAGACTAATCCCCATAATCCCAACAATTCAAGTAAAAACATATTTCTTCATGTTGTCTGCGCTGAAATGAATCATGGGAAATGTAGTTCCTCATGTTTATAAACTGTTTCTTCTATAAAACCATGAATTTAAGCAAAGAAACTTGTGATTTGATTAATTGTGATGCCCTATGATATTATTTTGAGACTTTTGACGATACAGTATCACAATATTTAATTATTGTTACATCTCTGATTTCAATTTTTTCCAAGAGACAGTTTGATTTAACGAATCTCAAACATGAGGTTTGTCCAGACTACAGTTACTATAGAAACTTCATGCCCCCCGGTGGTCAGGGAGGATGAAATAGTCTCTATTCACTCTTACGTCACAAACCAGCGTCAGTGGGGGAATGATTAAAACTGAGGTGTGGTTGTAATTGTTGATTAGTCGAACATAACAGAACGGTACAACGACATGGACATGAAGAAAACTGGGCGTGGGAAGTTGTAATTGCATCTTTCCAAACGTCCTGCTTGTTTGTGACGGTGACATAAGCGGGGTTAGAGTCTGTAGAGTTACCCTGTGTAAGTGCTGTGTGCTGCCCCCTGCAGGCCCTGTCAGCGCAGGAGGACCTGGAGAAGACGAAGGAGGAGCTGAAGACGGCCGTGGCCGTCGTACCTGCTCACACCGAGACGGAACACGACGAACAGGATGAAAACCACGCGGAGGCGAGCGCCGAGCTGTCCAACGAAGGAGTCAGCCACGTGGACCTGAGGAGCGAAGAGGCGAGAGTGACGGAGGCTCAGAAGAACGAGAGGGTCAAGAAACAACTGCAGGTAAAAAATATATACAAATATAAAAATATAAAACTATAACTGGGACTAGAGGCGGGACTAGAGCCGGGACTAAGAGCCGGGACTAAGAGGGTCAAGAAACAACTGCAGGTCAAATATTTACAATAATATTAATCAGGGACTAAAACTAAAGTCACAGGGTTTAGATTTGACCACAATCATCTTATTTATCTAAATAATAAACTCATTTAGTGTCTTTTTTCTGTAAATATCCAATCTTTATTCTCTTGTATTTGTTTTTCTTTTCCAGACGCTGAGCTCAGAATTGGCCGAAGCTCGAGACGAAACGAAGAAAACTCAAAACGACGTCCTCCACGCGGAGAACGTGAAAGCGGGACGCGACAAATATAAAACGCTGAAACAGATCAGGCAGGGCAACACCAAACAAGCGCATCGACGAGTTTGAATCCATGTGAGACGGATCAGGCGGGCAACAGCTAGCGTCGCATAGAAGAATATAAGAGATACGGATCAGGCAGCAGCAGCAGCAGCAGCAGCGCATAGAAGAAAATAAGAGACACAAGAGACACGGATCAGGCAACACCGAGCAGCGCGAGGAAGAAACCGCGCGACACGGATCAGGCAGCAGCACGCAGACAAAGAGCGCCGCCATTTTGGACACGCCCCAAATGCCGCCATTTTGTAACTCTCCAAAACTCACCCAAGACCCTAAAACGTTTAACGGGGACCGGACCCGAGGGGGAGGGGGACCGGACCCGGAGGGGGAGGGGGACCGGACCCGAGGGGGCGGGGACTGGACCCAGACCTCCAGCCTTTCTCTCGTCTTAGCCCAGCCTCCCCTCACTGTTCCTGGGTTCACTTTTCTGCCCCCCCTCTCTATCTCCAGGATCTAGACCCAGGGACTGTTGATACTTTGCAGTGACGTCATGCTGGGGGTGTTCTACGTCCACGTCTATAGTGAAATGTTCAGCAGTTACCGTGACAAACACAGACAGACAAGAAAGATTTAAGATTGTTTGAAAATTCCGTTCAGAGTTGAGATAAATCAGGTTCTTTGTGGTCACATTAAAGCTCCGTTCAGTCTGCAGGTTTAAAGCTCAATTTGGGTTTTTTTTTGCGAGCTCGTTCACATTTCCAGTTAAATGTGACTCCAGTGTGAACTTTAAATGTCCCAAAAGTGTCCCACATGACACACGCGCACAGAAGTCGCCTAAACTCTGGGCTCGTCTCCCAAAATCTGGTCCAGTCGTCGGTAAAATGTTCAGGTCACACGTCCACGGTCGCTTCGTTTGTTTGAGTCTTTATCCTCCTCGTGTTTGTGTCGCAGGATCTTTATTTTTGGTTGATGTTGGAGCCAGGACGTCTGTAGCCGCGCTCGGACATTTCACAAACCAGTTTGTCCTGAAAACATCGATCCCCCAAATACAAATAAAATCGGTAACGTCACTTTCCCTCCACTGAACGGAGACTAAGTTCTATCAGACTTTCATTTGAGTGACAGAGGTTCAGACAGAGCAGTGCCTCCAGTTAGCGTCACACCTCCAGAGAACGTTGATGACGTCAGCTGCAAAGTATCAACAGACGTCCAGGAACCCCCCAGGTCCCTCACCGCCCCACCCCAGCCTCCCCTCACCGCTCCTGGGCCTCTTCTCCGTCCGGTCCCTCCCTCCTCGTCCTTGTCCTTCTCCTCGTCCTCCTCATCCTCATCATCCTCCTTGTCCTCGTCCTCCTCCTCCTCTTCCTCCTCTCCTCTCCTCCTCTTTCCTCTCCTCGTCCTCCTTCTCCTCGTCCTCATCCTTCTTCTTGTCCTCCTCCTCCTTGTCCTCCTTTTCGTCCTCATCCTTTTCTTTTCGTCCTCATCCTTTTCCTTTTCGTCCTCATCCTTCTCCTCGTCGTCCTCCTCATCTTCGTCCTCGTCCTTCGTCCTCGCCAAAGCGCCTGATGCCACTTCGATCAAACCGCAGAGTTTAATTGGATTTTTTACGTTGAACAAATTGCCATATTATATTATTATTATTATTATTATTATTATGAAATGATTCTAAATATGAATTCTCTATTTTTGCTTCAGACTTCCGCTTCGTCCGTGTCTGTCCTCGTTCTAGGTTCTTTTAACGATTTTTAAGTTGTGATTTACGTCAAATTTTCCTTTTCGAAATATCACAAAGTTTCTGTTCAGCTTTTTTGAAATTTAGAATTATTATCTATGAAAGAAATCAGTATTTTTAGAGTTGAAATCAGTCTGAGGTCTGAGAAAGTTTTTCTTATTGTGAGCAAACTGGATTATTGTGGGGATAGCGCCACCTAGTGATGACTGAATGTAGCAAAGGTCAAAAGGGACGGTGTCGGTCGGTCGGCGGGAAGCTTGTGAAAAGTCAAAATAAGCTAAAATTTAAAAGTACATTTCACAAAATCTGTGTTGGACTCTAGTCTCTCATCATGGACTAAAACCAGGACTAAACTAAGACTAAACCAGGACTAAATCAGGGCTAAAACTAGGACTAAAACTAGGACTAAACCAGGTCTAAACCAGAGACTAAACTAAGACTAAAACTAGAACTAGACCAGAGACTAGGACCAGTTTACCACACAGTTTAGACTTGGTTTAGTCCAGGTTTTGTGCCCCAATACGGGATTCAACCTGGACTAAAAAAGGTCTCTAAACCAGGACTAGGACCAGGACTAAACCAGAACTACAATATAAATAAATTAAACCAGGTCTCAAATACCTAAACTACCTAATCTTAGACTGGACCGGGGCCTGGACCGGGGCCTGGACCGGGGACTGGACCGGGGCCTGGACCGGGGCCTGGACCGGGGACTGGACCGGGGACTGGACCTGGGGCTGGACCGGGGACTGGACCAGAATTAAAAACATGTTCACATGGTTTACACTTGGTTTAGTCCAGGTTTAGGGCCCTAAAACAGGACTAAACTAGGACTAGGACCAGGTTTAAACAAGGTCCAGAAAGGTCTCTAAACCTGGATGAGACCAGGACTAAACCAGGGACTAAACCAGGACTAAAACCATGTTCACATGCGTTGTTTACACTTGGTTTCATCCAGGTTTATTGCCCTAAAACAGGACTTGACCAGGACTAAATGAGGACTAAAGTAGGTCTAAAAAGGTCTCAAACCAGGACTTAGGACCAGGTTTAAACTGGGTCCAAACCTGGACTTGCCAAGGTGTAGAAAATCCCTAAAACGGAACTAAACCAGGTCTTTTATCTTTATTCTCGAGGGCTAAACCAGGACTAAACCACATGAACAAAAAGTGACTGTGAATGTAATTTTCATGTAATTTTTAAACAAATATTTTCAAATTTTTGAGTTCCGCTTCTGTCCTGAAAGTGACTCTACCTCAGCGCAGTCGAACCCGAGACTAAAATCCAACATGAATGAAAATACAAAGATTCAGTCTGTTACTTTAAGAGCTTCGTTTGACCCGTTTGTCGTTCACAAAAGTTCAAAACGCTGTTACGCTTGTTGTAAAATAAAGAAATGTTTAAAGAGATGTATTACACAGATCTGGAGCTGATGTACGAATGTAGTTTCCGCCATTTTATTTTAACAAAGACCGAGTCCTTCGGTCGGTTCTGTTCATTTGTCTCAATAAAAACGTTTTACATTTTGGATTCGTTTCAGACTCTTTCATTATTATTTTTTTTATGTTTATGTTACTGGGTTTAACTTTATTTATCAAGGAAAGAAATGACTTGGATTGAGGAGCTTGAAAATTACAGCTTCATGACATCACAAGGTGGAACAGGTCGTTTAGTCGTAGTTTGTCATTTTGGAGCAAAATAAACCAAAACAAAGTCTCCAGCCCCTTGGATCATGACTGAAACAGTTTAGGCTGAAGTAAAAAGTTTTTCTAACACCAAACCTGATTAAACAACGACAGAATTTCAAGAAAGAAACAACGTCTGAACAGAAAGTTTGTGTTTACAATTTCACTCATGACTCACTGTGACAAACACAACTGCAGCTCTGATTTTAAGGAGGAAACAACATCAGAACATAGATTAAAACTCACAAAAGTCAGTTTTGTGTGATAGAAGATGTTTAATATTCAGTAGAAATCAAAATAAATCTGTGAAATTGAATTATGCACAGTTTTTTAGTCATTTAGTTGTAGTTTATTCAGTCATTTTTTAAGAGATAAAATAAGATATGCCTTTATTAGTCCCACGGTGGGGAAATTCCAGTGTTGCAACTAAATAAAATTAAATTAAATAAATATTGTCTTAAAAATAATTTTAAAATAGACTTAAAAATAATTGCACATAGTTATAGTTGAATGGCACATGTTCAGTGTTTACAGTGTTTGTTGTACTACAAAATAAAACAACACAGACTTCAACCCTCTGGATCAGGACCAAAAAAAGTTTAGGCTGAAGTAAAAAGTTTAACACCAAATCCGATTAATCAAGGACAGAATTCCAAGAAAGTTTGAAAAGTTTGTGTTTACAGTTTCACTTCAGACTCAGTGTAAACGTCCGTCTGTCCATGTTCTTCTTCTTCTCTGGGGTCGAGTCTCGGGGGCATCAGTCTGAGCAGAGACTCCCAGACTCCCTCACCCCAGACACTTCCTCCAGCCACGTGGAGGAGCAGCGTCTCTACTCCGAGCTCCGCACTCTGTCTCTAAGGGAGCGGAGGAAACTCATTCGTGTCGTTCGTGTCGTGGATCTGGTCCTTCGGGTCGTGACCAGAGTTGAGGTGAGGAGGAACATCAGCTCCTCTTCACCACAACGATCTGACACAGCAACAGGGACCGCAACACTGCCCACGCTGCACCTGTCCACCTGTCAATCCGCCCACGCTGCACCTGTCCACCTGTCAATCTGCCCACGCTGCACCTGCCACCTGCTGCCACGCTGCACCTGTCCACCTGTCAATCTGCCCACGCTGCACCTGTCACCATCTGCCCACGCTGCACCTGTCCACCTGCCCTGTCAATCTGCCCACGCTGCACCTGTCCACCTGTCAATCTGCCCACGCTGCACCTGTCCACCTGTCAATCTGCCCACGCTGCACCTGTCCACCTGTCAATCTGCCCACGCTGCACCTGTCCACCTGTCAATCTGCCCACGCTGCACCTGTCCACCTGTCCATCTCACACTGGATGGAGCGTCAGATATAAGATCTTTAAGGGTCAATCTAAATCACAACACATCCATGAAACTGAATCGTGTAGTTTTATGGTTATTTATCCACATGGTCTAGATCAGACATGTCCAAACTATGGCCCGGGGGCCAAATGCGGCCCTCAGACACATTTTTCTTGGCCCTCAGACCTCCAGGTGAATTGGCCCAAATTACCTTGCATCAATTTAAAAAAAAAAATACTGTAAGTTTTTTTTTTAAATCTACCTGAATCAAGCGAATATTTAATATTTAGTGTTTAGTGGTTTTAAGGATCTTAGTGTGAATAAAGTCTGATGGATCATTCTAACGTGTTAAACCTGCACATATTTCAATTATTCACTGTACTGAGCATCAGTTTACGGCCCTTGATCTGCTTCATCTGTGTTTAGAAATGTGACCCTTGATGAAAAAAGTTTGGACACTCCTGGTCTAGCCTGACCAGATTCTCAAAATTAAAAAAAAGGGAAATCTCCAGTTTGTGCTGGTTGGTAAAAATAAAAGTGTAAAACAAGTGTGTCATTAATTAAAAACTGTTCTGCACTCAGCTCTACTAATGTGAGTCAGTTTAGTCACATTTTCTTTGTGTTTTGGTCATTTTTCAACAGATTTTCTGTATTTTACTTAAATAAATTACAGTTTCTGTGTCTTTTTACTGTTGGCAGGATCAGTTTTGTCAAAAATACACTTGGGACATTTCTTGTATAAAACTGGGACAAATCAGTGGTTTTGGATAAATCTGTTGGGACTACAGGACGTCTCTCATTATTATTTTTATTATTATTATTTATTTATTTATTGTATTTTTTATTTTTGTGTTTGTTTGTTTATTTTTATTTATTTATTTTATTCTTTTATTTACAAGTATTTTTTTGGCCTATTTAGTTACAGTTCTTTTTCAAAACTCTTTATTTTATCATTTTTATTTCACGATCAAATCAAATCAAAACAAACTGTGCGTAATGACGTACTCCCCCTCTGCGCCCCCCCCGTGTGCGCCGTGACGTCATCGCGCAGCGGAAGACCGCGGCCCGACGCTGTGGGCACGTTCTGCGGAGACATTTCTGGGACGTTTTCTGTTTTCTGCGACATTTTCCTCTTTTTCCTTCGCGTTTGTCCCGGTTTTTTGTTTCTGTTTGTGTCTCCGGAGACGCGGCGGCTTCAGCAGGTGAGACCCGCTCCTCGCACCGCGCCACAACAACGAAAAATGCGCAAAATAAGGCGTTGGAAAGCGGTAAAGTGAGGCTTCTGCGCCCGGAGGCTGATGTGATGCTAGAGATGCTCCGGCTAAACTCACACAAACACAAACACTTTACTCACTATTTTCACTTTTTAACACCAAAACATCCGGATTTATCATGTTACAAAGATAAAAACACAAAATACCTAAATATTCAAACATATATGACCTTAAATCCATGTTTTTGTCAATACAGAATAGTTAAATTAACAAAAGAAACATAAAGTATACAGATAAATCCACTAAATTCGCTCATTTTAAGAAACTTATAAACATTTACATTCATTAAATTCGTTTATTTTAAGCCTCATTTTATAGTGAGTAATAATATAGTAATAATAACATTGACTAGTTTTAAATTTAAAGAGAATATACATTTGTTTAGTGAAAAAAAACAAATAAATGTACATTGTGATTGTTTTTCTGAGAGGAGTTTTACTGTATTTTTACTTGTGTTACAGTTTTTTAGTCATAGTATTTTGAAGTAACAGTATTTTTACTTCAGACCTGGTTTAGTCCTGGTTTAGTCCTGGTTTAGACCTGGTTTAGTCCTGTTTTTAGACCTGTTTCAGACCTGTTTTTCAGACCTGGTTTAGACCCTGTTTTTAGTCCTAGTTTAGTCCTGGTTCAGTCTTGGTTTAGTCCCTTGTTTAGTCCTGGTTTAGTCCCTTGTTTAGACCTGGTTTAGTCCTGGTTTTGACCTGGCTTAGACCTGTTTCAGTCCTGTTTTTAGACCTGTTTTAGATCCATTTCAGACCTAGTTTAGACCTGTTTTTAGACCTGTTTTTTAGTCCTGTTTAGACCTGATTTAGAGCTGGTTTAGACCCTCGTTTAGACCTTGTTTAGACCTGGTTTAGTCCTGTTTTTAGACCTGTTTTTTAGTCCTGTTTTTTAGTCCTGTTTAGACCTGATTTAGAGCTGGTTTAGACCCTCGTTTAGACCTTGTTTAGACCTGGTTTAGTCCTATTTTAGACCTGTTTTTAGTCCTGTTTTTAGTCCTGTTTTTAGACCTGGTTTCAGACCTGGTTTGGGTCTGCTCGGTGCCAAATGACCCGCGGTCCGGTTCCAGTCCTCGGTCCGGGGGTTTGGGGATCTTCGCTTTAGAAAGTCAAGTTTTTTGATCTTTGAAAAGGTTTATTTGTTTTTTTGTTTTGTTTTTTTATTCCTTTGTCATTATATTGGTTGAAAATGTCTCAAAATGTCAAAGATTTTCTCGTTTATCACAATCATCATTTCTTGGTCAATGAATCGTCCAGGAAAATCTGTTGTGAAATAAAAAGTGTGTGAATAATGTGAATAATGTGTCACTGTTTAGTTCCAGAGCAAAATTAAACCTCATATTTACAAATGTAGGGAGTATTTTCCATGAGCTGATCCTGAAAAATATGAACAAGTGTCGGGTGGAGCAGTGACTCACACGGACGAGGACGAGGAGGAGGAACTAACATCTGAAAACTACAAGAAAAGAGCTTTTATTTATGAATGAGAAACTGCCCCAAAACTCAACAGAAAACTCACAATAATTCTGTTTTAATTTGGACTCAGATAAAAATAAAATCTAAGTTTAAAATCCCAAAGAGTCCAGACTTTATCCCAACACAAAACACTTTTCCAGATAAATAAAGAAGAATTGGATAATAAACTTTAATAATACAATTATTACTAAAGTATTCTGATCTGATTTGAAGTAAAAATACTGTTACTTCAAATACTATTATTAAACAAGATCTAAACCAGGTCTAAACAAGGTCTAAACCAGGACTAAAATAGGTCTAAAACACGTCTAAAACCAGGACTAAAACCAGGTCTAAACTAGGTCTGAAACGGATCTAAAACAGGTCTAAAAACAGGACTGAAACAGGTCTAAGCCAGGTTTAAAACCAGTCTAAAAACAGGGTCTAAGCCAGGTCTAAAACACGTCTACAACCAGGTCTAAAACCAGGACTAAAAGCAGGTCTTAAACCGGGACTAAAACAGGGTCTAAATTGGGCCTAACTGGGTCTAAAACAGGTCTTAAACAGGTCTAAAAGAGGTCTAAAAAGAGATCTAAAGACAGGACTAAACCAGGTCTAACCCAGGTCTAAAACAGGGTCTAAACCAGGACTAAAACAGGATCTAAAACAGGTCTAAAACAGGTCTAAAAGAGGTCTAAACCAGGTCTAAACCAGGATCTAAACCAGGACTAAAACCAGGATTTAGGAGACTACAGACTGCAGACTGTGTCCCAGTGAAGAGTCTTGAACTGGACTTGGGTCGGTCTCTGTGGATTCTTTTATTTTTGAGAATGATTTTAAAAGGTTACAGTAACTCGTTTTTCAGTTTTATTTTTGTCTCGTTGCTTCAGATTTTGGTCACTCGATGTTCACAGAAAATAACTTTTAAAGATGAAATGAAATGACCTCAGCTTCGTTAAAAATCCTCATTTGGTCCTTGGACTCACCCGGGTTTGTTAGTTTGTCAGTATAAACTCGCTCCCTCCTCGTTCAATTAAGAGAAATGAAGTGAAATCGTTAAATAAACAGTTTATTGACACGTGGCCCCGCCCCTTTTCCCTCTGGACCAATAGAATCCCAGAGTTTGGGTTGGTGTTTAACGGTTCGTTGTGTCCAGGTCCTTCGACGAAGTCCGGACGAGATCTGAGCTCTGGACCGGTCTGTCTGCTCACCGTAAGTACTCCAGTACTCAAAAGTACTTCTAACAGTGATGTTATTGATGTGCTGCTGTATTTGATTATTGAACTATTATAAATCACTAAACAGTGACTCATAAAACAGGGACTAGATCCCAGCTGAAGGACACAGACACAGGTTCAGTTCATGTACCAGATCTTCTGTTTCTATCTACATGTTTAACCAATGAACTAAACAGGACCAGGACTTATGGACAGGGACAAACTGACTCACGACTCATCACCCTGATCAGAGCAGAGAGACTCTCCCCTGAGAGGAGGGAGATGAATCCAGGAGAACCTCGTCACAGTCGGATCAGATTGTGCGTCGTGCTGAGAGCCAGGATCACCTGAGACCAACGAAGACGCACCAAGTCTGAAGCACGGTCGCCTCCCACTGGACTTTGTGTCTAAAAATCATTGTATAGGTGTAAATATTCAGTCTGTGTCAGTTTTATCTGGAATTTATTTCTGTTCCTAGTGTCATTTTTTGTCTAAGCAGAAACTAACGAACACATGAGGAACAGGGTTATTTTCCTCAACACTAACGGCTGCGTTCAGACTGAACCTGAAGTGACCCAAATCTGATTTTTTGTCTCTATGTTCTGTATCTGATCTTTTAATGTCTGAACCACACAGATGTGATGTTTTCACATGTGACCAGGACACTTGGATCTGTGCTCCTGAAACTGATCCATATCTGATCTTTAACATGTGACTTGAGTGTGAACAGTCAGGTCACATTCATCCACCTACACGTCATCAACAAGACACAAACGTCACTATTCTGCACTGAAGTAGAGAAAACTGTTCATGATCCATGTGACTGAAGTGAAGCACATCTCCACTCACCACAAAACACCACCACCAAAAACCTGCTCCTTCTCCTTCTCAATCTCCTCCTTAAAACAAGTCAGTTGTTCATGTTGTGGCTCCGGTACGAGAGGAACTTTAAAATCTCCAGGTGTAAACACAGAGACGCTCGCTGCGGTTGACGTCGTCGTGTCTCCAGTGTCACATGTGGGACACTTTTGGACATGTTTAATGTTCACACTGGAGTCACATACAAGTCACATTTAACTGGAAATGTGAACGAGCTCGAAAAAACATCAGATTTCACCAAAAAATCTATTGAGCGTTAAACCTGCAGACTGAACTTAGACTTCTAGTAGTATTAGTAGTATTAGTATTAGTATTAGTATTAGTAGTGTGAGTATGTGTTAGTGTGTTGTGAGTATGTGACATCCCCGTGTGTGTGTTTCTCTGACTCTCTCTGTGTGTGTTTCAGATGGGTTGAGGAGGTTGAGGAGGTCGAGGAGGTCGAGGAGGTCGAGGAGGTCGAGGAGGTCGAGGAGGTCGAGGAGGTTGTGGGTTTGATTCCCTGGACATGAGGCACCACTGGCTGCTGCTGGGAGCCTGTGGGTGGGTCCTGCTCATCCTCATGTTCGTCACCAAGTACATCAACTTCAGAGCCACAGACGGTCAGTACTACTACTACTACTACTACTACTACTACTACTACTACTACTACTACTGTTACTACTACTACTACTACTACTGTACTACTACTACTACTACTACTACTACTACTACTACTACTGTACTACTACTACTACTGTACTACTACTACTACTACTACTACTACTACTACTACTACTACTACTACTACTACTACTACTACTACTACTACTACTGCTACTACTACTACTACTACTACTACTACTACTACTACTACTACTACTACTACTACTACTACTACTACTACTACTACTACTACTACTACTACTACTACTACTGTACTACTACTACTACTACTACTACTACTACTACTACTACTACTACTACTACTACTACTACTACTACTACTACTACTACTACTACTACTACTACTACTACTACTAGTACTGTGAAAAAGTACTACTAGTACTTCCTGTACATTTGTCCTCCTGTGTCTTTGACTCGACACTCAGCTCATAAGTTAAATATTTTTGGAAACAGAAACCGTTTGTTCCAGAGCAAAACTTTTACACAAACACAAACTGAGCTCAGTGAATTTTATACAAAAACTAAAGATCTGCGTTTGTCGTTTTCCTGTGTGACGCTGCTGCGGCTCAGACGCTGTGGATGATGTTTGATGTTTCAGGGTACGGAGAGAGAGTGGTGTCTCAGAACTGGACCGAGTCTGGGACCAGGACCATCAAAGTCCAGAGTCTAGAGACCAAGACCAAGAGCAGCTCCAGACCTGCAGCACAGGTATCAGCCTGCAGGGGGCGCGGGGGAGTGTCTGTGGACGTCTGCAGCTGCCACCAACTCCACCTCCACATAATCAATTCATCGATTCAAATGTTTGTCAAATATTTCAGTGATCGAATAATCATTTATTTATGTACTTACTGTATCTGTGGACACATTTAACCCACACACACCACCTCCAAACAGGAAGTGAACACGGACATGACTCGGCTCCATGGACTCTGGCTCCAGTTCAGTTTGTGTCTGAAAGTACGGCTGGTTTAGTCCTGGTTCAGTCCTTTTTTAGTCCTAGTTTAGACCTGGTTTAGACCTGGTTTAGTCCTGGTTTAGTCCTGGTTTAGTCCTGTTTTAGACCTGGTTTAGTCCCTGGTTTAGTCCTGGTTTAGTCCTGGTTTAGTCCTGGTTTAGTCCTGGTTTAGTCCTGGTTTAGTCCTGGTTTAGTTACCTGGTTTAGTTCCTGGTTTAGTTCCTGGTTTAGTCCTGGTTTAGAGTCCTGGTTTAGTCCTGGTTTAGTCCTGGTTTAGTCCTGGTTTAGTCCTGGTTTAGTCCTGGTTCAGTCCTGGTTTCAGTCCTGGTTTAGTCCTGGTTTAGTCCTGGTTTAGTCCTGGTTTTCAGTCCTGGTTCAGTCCTGGTTTCAGTCCTGGTTTAGTTCTGGTTTAGTCCTGGTTTAGTCCTGTTTAGTCCTGGTTTAGTCCTGGTTTAGTCCTGGTTTAGTCCTGGTTCCAGTCCTGGTTTAGTTTAGTCCTGGTTTAGTCCTGGTTTAGACCTGGTTTAGTCCTGGTTTAGTCCTGGTTTAGTCCTGGTTTAGTCCTGGTTTAGTCCTGGTTTAGTCCTAGTTTCTTTCACATTCTCAGGTCAGTGAGGGTCACACTTTTACACACAAACTGAACTGGAGCCAGAGTCCATGGAGCCGAGTCATGTCCGTGTTCACTTCCTGTGTGGAGAGCGGTGGTGTGTGTGGGTTAAATCATTGAAAAATGGAGCTTTTAAGACCAGTTTGAGTTTGTCAGGGTGAAACCTCGAGGAAAAGACGTAATAATCCTGTTTCTTCCCGTCTTTATGTCTTTGTTTATGTTTGTGTTCATCGTTCAGTCGTCTAGCGCCCCCTCCAGCGCGGCGGCGTCATCGTCGTGGCAGTCTGTGATCGACCAGAGGAACCGCCTCCTCAGGGCCGTGTGCAAAGACCCCGCCCTCCGGAATCTCACCCACAACCCGGTCTCCAAGTTCGTCCTGGACCGGATCTTCGTGAGCGACGCCCACAAAATCCTCTTCTGCCAAACGCCCAAAGTCGGAAACACACAGTGGAAGAAAGTCCTGATCGTCCTCAACGGTACTGGACCGGGACCGGGACTAGACCGGGACCACGACCACGACCGGGACCACGACCGGGACCACGACCGGGACCACGACCGGGACCACGGGACCGGGACCAGGACCACAACTGGGACCACGACCGGGACCACGACCAGGATCGGGACCACGACCGGGATCAGGACCATGACCAGGACCAGGACTAGGACTAAACCAGGACCACGACCATGACCAGGACCAGGACTAGACCAGAACTAGACCAGGACCAGAACTAGACCAGAACTAGACCAGGACCAGGACTAGACTGGGACTAAACCAGGACCAGGACTGAACAGGGACCAGGAGTAAACCAGGACTAAACCAGGACTAAACCAGGACTAAACCAGGACTAAACCAGGACTAAACCAGGACTAAACTAGGACTAAACCAGGACTAAACCAGGACTAAAGATGATCTGACCTGATGTTTTGTTTCAGGAGCGTTTCCAAATGTGGAGGAGATTCCTGAAAACATCGTTCATAATCACGAGAAAAACGGACTCCCGCGACTGTCGTCGTACCGCCCCCCGGAGATCACACACAGGTACTGCACCTTTACTACAACAAACTCTCAAACCTCTGTTTTATTTTAGTTTTAATTTATTCATTTATTTGGTTTGGACAGACGACACAGAACAACACAAAATATAAAAGTGTTTGACAGAGACACAGATCAGTTAAAGACCAGATTAAATGTTCCTTCATCCACAGTTTAAGGTTCAGGTTGAACATTGAAACAGATAAACTTTCTGTGATTGTCGATGGGAGACTGTTCCACTGTTCCACGTCATGACATCACAAGGTGGAACAGAGCGTTTGGAGCTTTGTACATGTAGACAGACTCATAATAAAGATTTACTCTTTACTCTTTACTCTTTTGTGACGAGTAAAGGACGTTATTGTGTTTGTGTTTATGTTTATGTTTGTGTTTATGTTTGTTTGTGTTTGTGTTTATGTTTGTGTTTATGTTTGTGTGTTTTGTTTATGTTTGTGTTTGTTTGTGTTTATGTTTTGTTTGTGTTTATGTTTGTGTTTATGTTTGTGTTTGTTTGTGTTTATGTTTGTGTTTTGTTTATGTTTGTGTTTGTTTGTGTTTATGTTTGTGTTTGTTTATGTTTGTGTTATGTTTGTGTTTATGTTTGTGTTTATGTTTGTGTTTGTTTGTGTTTATGTTTGTGTTTGTTTATGTTTGTGTTTGTTTGTGTTTTGTGTTTGTGTTTGTGTTTATGTTTGTGTTTGTGTTTATGTTTGTGTTTGTGTTTATGTTTGTGTTTTGTGTTTATGTTTGTGTTTGTTTATGTTTATGTTTGTGTTATGTTTGTGTTTATGTTTGTGTTTATGTTTGTGTTTATGTTTGTGTTTGTTTTGTTTGTTATGTTTGTGTTTGTTTGTGTTTATGTTTATGTTTGTTTATGTTTGTGTTGTTTGTGTTTATGTTTGTGTTTATGTTTATGTTTATGTTTGTTTATGTTTGTGTTTGTTTATGTTTGTGTTTATGTTTATGTTTATGTTTGTGTTTATGTTCCAGGCTGGACTCGTACTTTAAGTTCCTGATCGTTCGAGATCCGTTTGAACGTCTCATTTCCGCGTTTAAAGACAAATTCGTTTTAAATCCTCGTTTTGAGCCGTGGTACAAACTGGACATCGCCCCCGCCATCATCCGCAAGTACCGCCGCTTCCACGGCGACCACGGCGCGGCGGAGGACGAGCGGGGGGCGGGGCTCCGCTTCGAGGACTTCGTGCGTTACCTTGGCGACGCGGAGGGACGCCACCGCCTGGACCGTCAGTTCGGCGCCCACATCATCCACTGGCTGAGCTACGTGGAGCTGTGCGCGCCCTGCGACATCGACTACGACGTCATCGGGCACCACGAGACGCTGGAGCGAGACGCCGCGCACATCCTGCGGGCGGCGGGCATCGACGGGCTGGTCACGTACCCGCACATCCCCCCGGGCATCACCAGGTACAACCGCACCAAAGTCCAGAGCTACTTCAGCGGCATCGGCAAACGAGACGCCCGCAGACTCTTCGCCCGATACCAGGGAGACTTCACCCTGTTCGGGTACGAGCGCCCGGGATTCGTCCTCGACTGAACGCGACGCCACGCTGAGGACGCCACGCTGAGGACGCCACGCTGAGGACGCCACGCTGAGGACGCCACGCTGAGGACGCCACGCTGAGGACGCCACGCTGAGGACGCCACGCTAACTGTACGCACTGCTCTGTCTGAAAGCACTTCCTTCAGGTCAGACTGTGTTCAAATCAAACTCAGATTCAAGTCTGACTCCAGTCACAGAGACTGAGACGGAGCAGTGCCTCCTGTTAGCGTCACACACACACACACACACACACACACACACACACACACACACACACACACACACACACACACTGGTGACATCAGCTGTAAACTTCAGACTGTTCAGGTTTAAACTCGACTAAAGGATCAACACTGTTTATGTCCAGTCTGGTCCAGTCAGGTCCAGTCGGGTCCAGTCGGGTCCAGTCGGTCCAGTCTGGTCCAGTCGGGTCCAGTTTAGAACAAGTGAAGAACTAAACTCTTCTTTAAAGGAGTGGTGTGTGTTCTGCCCCCTACAGGTCACACAGACAAACAACAGAGTCATGTGACGCTCTTCCTGTGCTCTGATTGGATAAAAAAACAAAACACCTAAATTAAAAAGAACAGAAATAAACAGAACGTCGTGTTTTTGTGAAGAATAAATAAATGATCTTTAGAACATTTCCACACGGCTCCTTTAAAAACCACGAGAGAAACTGGGGAAAAAATCTCATAAAAAGTCAAAGTATTAAATTTTCTACAATGTTACACAAAACTACTGTTACAGGACTAAACCAGAACTAAACCAGGACTAAACCAGGACTACACCAGGACTACACCAGGACTACACCAGGACTACACCAGAGACTAGACCGAGACTAAACCAGGACTAAAGTTGGTTCATTCAGGACTTTGCACATCATCATATTTTAGTTTTGCACATTTTTCTTGACACTACGACAGAAAAACTCAACACTTATTTTACATTTTTCATGTCGACACTGATTCTCGGAGGATAAATCTCGGTCACAGACTCGACCCTGAGGTCCTGAGGTCCTGAGGTCCTGAGGTCCTGAGGTCCTGAGGTCCTGAGGTCCTGAGGTCCTGAGGTCCTGAGGTCCCGCTCAGACTCCAGACTCCAGACTCCAGTCCTGAGGAGAGTCCGGTCGGGTTTAGAGTTTTAAAAAGTGCTTTATTTACATTTAGTTTGTGCTAAAACGAAACTGAAGGAAAAAGAAGAATTTTTGTTTTTATGATTTACAAAATTAACTCAATAATTTAACAAAGAAAAGGAACGATTCAGAGAAGCAGAACAGATCTAAACCAGGACTAAACCAGGACTAAACCAGGTCTAAACCAGGTCTAAATCAGGTCTAAACCAGGACTAAACCAGGTCTAAACCAGGTCTAAACCAGGTCTAAACCAGGACTAAACCATGTCTAAACCAGGACTAAACCAGGTCTAAACCAGGTCTAAATCAGGTCTAAACCAGGACTAAACCATGTCTAAACCAGGTCTAAACCAGGTCTAAACCAGGACTAAACCAGGACTAAACCAGGACTAAACCAGGTCTAAACCAGGTCTAAACCAGGTCTAAACCAGGACTAAACCAGGTCTAAACCAGTCTAAATCAGTCTAAACCAGGTCTAAACCAGGTCTAAAACCAGGTCTAAACCAGGTCTAAACCACGACTAAATTAGGTCTAAACCAGGTCTAAAACAGGTCTAAAATAGGACTAAACCAGGTCTAAAACCAGGACTAAACAGGACTAAAACAGGACTAAATCAGGTCTAAACCAGGTCTAAACCAGGTCTAAACCAGGACTAAATCAGGTCTAAACCAGGTCTAAACCAGGTCTAAAATAGGACTAAACCAGGTCTAAACCAGGTCTAAACCAGGACTAAATCAGGTCTAAACCAGGTCTAAACCAGGTCTAAAACAGGTCTAAACCAGGACTAAATCAGGTCTAAACCAGGTCTAAAACAGGTCTAAAATAGGACTAAACCAGGTCTAAAACAGGTCTAAACCAGGACTAAACCAGGTCTAAACCAGGTCTAAACCAGGACTAAACCAGGACTAAACCAGGTCTAAACCAGGACTAAACCAGGACTAAACCAGGACTAAACCAGGACTAAACCAGGTCTAAACCAGGTCTAAACCAGGACTAAACCAGGTCTAAACCAGGACTAAACCAGGACTAAACCAGGACTAAACCAGGTCTAAACCAGGTCTAAACCAGGACTAAACCAGGTCTAAACAGGACTAAACCAGGACTAAACCAGGACTAAACCAGGTCTAAACCAGGTCTAAACCAGGACTAAACCAGGACTAAACCAGGTCTAAAATAGGACTAAACCAGGTCTAAAATAGGACTAAACCAGGACTAAACCAGGTCTAAACCAGGTCTAAACCAGGTCTAAACCAGGTCTAAACCAGGACTAAACCAGGTCTAAACCAGGTCTAAACCAGGTCTAAACCAGGACTAAACCAGGTCTAAACCAGGTCTAAACCAGGTCTAAACCAGGTCTAAACCAGGTCTAAACCAGGACTAAACCAGGTCTAAACCAGGTCTAAACCAGGTCTAAACCAGGTCTAAACCAGGTCTAAAATAGGACTAAACCAGGACTAAACCAGGTCTAAACCAGGTCTAAACCAGGACTAAACCAGGACTAAACCAGGTCTAAACCAGGACTAAACCAGGACTAAACCAGGACTAAAACCAGGTCTAAACCAGGTCTAAAACCAGGACTAAACCAGGACTAAACCAGGTCTAAACCAGGTCTAAACCAGGACTAAACCAGGACTAAACCAGGTCTAAACCAGGTCTAAACCAGGACTAAAACCAGGACTAAACCAGGACTAAACCAGGACTAAACCAGGTCTAAACCAGGACTAAACCAGGTCTAAACCAGGACTAAACCAGGACTAAACCAGGTCTAAAATAGGACTAAACCAGGACTAAACCAGGTCTAACCCAGGTCTAAACCAGGTCTAAACCAGGTAAACCAGGTCTAAACCAGGACTAAACCAGGACTAAACCAGGTCTAAAATAGGACTAAACCAGGACTAAACCAGGTCTTTCTGCTTCTCTGAATCACATCTTGTAGGAAATCGTTTGTTGTGTTTAATTAAAATTAAAAGTTTTTTTATTTTGTGGAGATTTGAGAAACATTTGAAAATGTGTAGTTGTAGTTTTTAGGATTTGTAGGATTTGAAGTTTTGGGTTTTGGGGAAATATTTGGACTTTTTAACTTTATTTAACGAGTAACTTCACTGGATTCAAATATTTAAACATTTGTCTGTTACATATTTATTTATATAAAGATTAATTTGAATATTCTTCTGTTTTTGGACAAACTGAGCAGGAGAAATAAAGTCACGTCTGAAAACCACGACTCGACTTTTTCTGTTTGTGTTTGTGTGTTTAAAGAAACACGACGGAACTTTTCTGTCTGTTGACGCTATGGAAACATCATCGCTTTGTCTAAAATGTTACAGAAAAACAAGGACTAAACCTGGTCTAAACCTGGTCTAAACCTGGTCTAAACCTGGTCTAAACCTGGTCTAAACCTGGTCTAAATCTGGTCTAAACCTGGTCTAAATCTGGTCTAAACCTGGTCTAAACCTCTGGTCTAAATCTGGTCTAAACCTGGTCTAAATCTGGTCTAAATCCTGGTCTAAATCTGGTCTAAACCTGGTCTAAATCTGGTCTAAACCTGGTCTAAATCTGGTCTAAAATCTGGTCTCTGGTCTGGTCTAAACCTGGTCTAAATAAACCTGGTCTAAACCTGGTCTAAACCTGGTCTAAAATCTGGTCTAAACCTGGTCTCTGGTCTAAACCTGGTCTAAATCTGGTCTAAATCTGGTCTAAATCTGGTCTAAACCTGGTCTAAATCTGGTCTAAACCTGGTCTAAACCTGGTCTGGTCTAAATCTGGTCTAAACCTGGTCTAAACCTGGTCTAAACCTGGTCTAAATCTGGTCTAAACCTGGTCTAAATCTGGTCTAAACCTGGTCTAAACCTGGTCTAAATCTGGTCTAAACCTGGTCTAAATCTGGTCTAAACCTTGTCTAAATCTGGTCTAAATCTGGTCTAACTCGAATCTAAACCAGGTCTAACTCAGGTCTTTGTGGAGACTCTTAAATTTCTCCGTCTCCATAGAAACGAGCGGGTAAACTCTGTGGAGCGGCGAGTCCATTTAACAGTAACATGGAGCATTGAATAAATTGTTCAAGAGAGTTCAATAAAGTTTAATGCCACTACGGAACATTCGAGGAAAAACACCACCGTCCCCGTGGAGACGAGCAGGAAAGTGACTGAGTGCAGCTTTAAACGTGTGGAGCTGTTGAGATACACGTGAGCGTCAGCAGGGGGCAGCAGAGCGTCGAGAAAATAAAACTGTCTCAAATAATCATCTGGAATTAAATAAATAATCAATTAAATAAAAATAAAACATTACGTATAAAATCTTCATCTGTTTCTGAACATTCTGTGAAAATTTGAGTTTATTTCAACAAGAATTGACAAAATTATCGACCTGTGAAATGACGTCACATTTTTTGATTTTTGACTGTTCTTATGGTTGTACTTTGTGTTGCAACACTGAAATTCTCCATTTTAGGACAAATCTTGTGTCTTTTCTGTCAGTCACATAAACTGAAACTTTTAGAACCTGCAGGACACAAACTACTGAAAAACACTATTTGTTTTTAGGAGAATTCAAATGAAAAAAAAAAAAAAGTATTATTTAAACCCACAGAACTGTCCCTGTTTTCCCCTGAATCGAGTTTTTTGTTTTTATTTTTGTTTTTGTATTTTTTTTTATTTATGTATTTATTTATTTATTTATTTATTTTATTTTATTTATGTATTTATTTTATTTGATTTTTATTTATTTATTTTTATTTTATTTATTGTATTTATCATTTATTTATTTATTTATTTTTAATTTTATTTTATTTTATTATAAAGTGGTGATATATTTTTGGGGTATTTTTGAGTTTGTGCAGATGTTTTCACCTGAATCATGTTTTTATTATTTTATTTAATTTAATTTTCTTATAAAGTGTTGATATATTTTTGGGTTTGTGCAGTTGTGGGTCAGACTCCGGTGAGTTTTATTTAAACAAACTGTGACATTATTCAAACACAAACTGGACAAACTGGTCTGACCACGTCTCCACGGCAACCGCAGCTTTACCTCTCAAAGACGGGATTATTCTCCAAGTACGACCGGGTCTAGTCCTGGTTTGTGGTTTAGACCAGACATAGACCTGGTTTAGACCTGGTTTAGTTTTTGTTTAGTCCTGCGTTAGACCATAAACTCCAGGTCCACGGTCTCTGGTCGGACCTGATCCGGTCCTGGTTCAAGGTTTTATTAGTTTTGGTTTAGTCACACGTTAAACATGAGTCAGACCCGGGTTAGACCTGGTCTAGACCTGGTCTAGACCTGGACAGGGTTAGTCCAGATTCAGTTCTGGTTTAGACTCATTCACTGCTAAATAAATCTTAGGCATAAAGATGTGAACATTTAAATGTGTCAGAAAATGAGTTGAAATGGAGAAATGTTTTGTCTGTGCAGAAAATCATTTTATTTTAACAAGTTTATTTTAAAATAAACGACAAGAACGAAACATCTCAGAACAAGAAGAAAATAAATCTGAAAACAACACGAAAAACCTGCAGAAGTTTAAAAATCTTGGCCTTGGCCTTAGACCTGGTTTAGTCCTGGTTTAGTCCTGTTTTAGTCCTGGTTTAGTCCTGGTTTAGACCTGGTTTAGTCCTGGTTTAGTCCTGGTTTTAGTCCTGTTTAGAGTCCTGGTTTAGTCCTGGTTTAGTCCTGGTTTAGTCCTGGTTTAGTTTAGTCCTGGTTTAGTCCTGGTTTACCTGGTTTAGTCCTGGTTTAGTCCTGGTTTAGTCCTGGTTTAGTCCTGGTTTAGTCCTGGTTTAGTCCTGGTTTAGTCCTGGTTTAGTCCTGGTTTAGTCCTGGTTTAGTCCTGGTTTAGTCCTGGTTTAGTCCTGGTTTAGTCCTGGTTTAGTCCTGGTTTAGACCTGGTTTAGACCTGGTTTAGTCCTGGTTTAGTCCTGGTTTAGTCCATGTTCTTCTCGGGTCTCGGGGGCTTCAGTCTGAACAGAGACTCACAGACTTCCTTCACCCCAGACACTTCCTCCAGTGGGACCTGAGTTGGTCCTGGTCCAGTCCAGAGACCTGGTCCCTCCAGTGGGTCCTGGTCTTCGTCCTCCTCCACGTGGAGGAGCAGCGGCTCTAGTCCGAGCTCCTCCCAGACCTGCTCCAGTCCTGGTTTAGTTTTTACATTTACAGTATTTTTATTTTTCTGGTTTGGTTGAATTAAACTCATATTTAAATAACGACAAACAGATGAAACACGTTTTTAAATCACAGAATTGATTTATTCAAAAACTGTTTCAAAAGTTTTTAAAATAGTTTCTGTAAGAAGTTGTTCTGTGAACCAAACCCACAAGAGACCAGATCCTCACCTCATGACCTGAGTCCAGACCTGAGTCCAGACCAGAGTCCAGACCTGAGTCCAGACCTGAGTCCA